GTCATATTCTTAGTTAGATGATATTTTCAAATTTAAAAGTCAACTTGTTTATTTGGATTTCAGAAATGATACCAAAATAAACATGTTGATCAATTCCTCATACAAATATCATAACTCGAGGTGTTCTTTTGACTTGTACAAATAATATGACAGACAAGAATTAAACCTGATGCTCATGTTCTGATGTCATTAACAATTTAATCGTCTACAATCTCACATCCCAAAGTTGCCGTGTTTTGCATGGTATTTAATTTTATCTACTTTTGTGTGTAGAACTTTACACATAAGCATATTCTTTTATTAGGGTAGAGAAGCTTATTATACTGGTTAGTTGTCTAGTTTTTTTAATGTTAATTCATTTGAAGATTTTCGTCGATCATTCGTCTTCATAGATAATTACCAACGTGTTACGTTGTATTACTGTGCATCATCTATCGACCAATATTCGGCTGATTATCTTCATAATTGAATACGTGCTCAATGTCAACCATCGTCAAAACCAACCATTATAAAAAAAGTCTTAAACACCTTTTTAGCCCAAATGAAACTTGAATGAGTCAATAACAGATAAAGAATAGGATTCGTTTTGAAGAGTAGTACGTAGTAACTAAAACTGTTCCATTTCAAAAATTACTCATTCAAAATGAATGTGAAAATTATTATGGAAAGTCAACCTTTGTATTGACCTGTTGTAGAATAATGTAAAGTAGAAATGTTAACTTGAATTGTGATAGCTCCACATTGAGAATTTAAAAAAGAAGATAACTAAATTTCTTATTTTCAATTCAAATGAGTAGATTATTTAGAAATCGATAAGTTTTATTATTCTCAGAGGGAACTTTTACTGTTGAATTATTTCTAATTTTACACGTAAAGATAATCCAATGTCATATGTACTTGAACAAAAAGAAACTTTCGATTGCCCAGACAAGTAGATATAAATGAGCAATCAATGTTGAAATATAAAAAATAGTCATTTTTTAAAAGTTTTTCTACAGTGATAGTAAACTAAATACAATAAAATCAATGTATGGAATATTTAAACTCTATGCAAACTTGTACTACTTTTCAATGTTAATCAGTAAATTGTCGAAAAATGAATGAAAATTTAAATGTTTGTTAGTAAATACTGTTATCTACCATGTAAACTATTAATTTTCAACCATTTGATCAAGTATTCTTATCACATCGATCAGTATCTTACTGTTATAATACTATTTATTGATTTTGCAACTGAAATCGGTTTACAACATACCTTCAAATTGTATAAAATTTCCAAAAAACGACTGACCTGAATTTATTTATTACATATTCATCTGTCAAAAATAATGTCATGAGGTATTGTAAAGAACTCGAAACTTCATATCACAAACTGACTTTGGTTAAAAAACCATTGAAGACTCGGGGGCAATGGACATCTGTTTAGTACTTGTAAGAGGATACTGAGCTATGTATAATATCATAAACTGATTATAATTAGGGAAGTAAACCACTGGATGACAACTCGGTGGTCTTACAATCATAGACTCGCGATGAGACCTTAAATTTCTTGAGTACAATTACTGGTAGGGTCATATATATGCACTAATGAATGGTACAACATCAAGACTAAACAGCTGTTTAGTGCTTCTAGGTTTTCAATGTTATGAATCACTTAATTTTGAAGATTGAATCTAGTCAAATCTTAACAAAAATGCGTACTCGACCCAATAAACACATGTCATCGTAATTTCATCATCATTATAATCACAATTATTTATAAGGATGGCTTATTGGTTATGTGGTAGTAACTGAATGTGACTATACATCATTTACTTGACAATCAATGGTCAATGGGAGCAAAAGTGAACAATCATCTCCCAATTTTAAACCATTCATTATATGCATATTTATTTATTGTTATTTATTTATTTACTTATTCCTATTGTTTTAGAAACAATCAAAAGAATAAAACGAAACGAGAGAAGAGAAAGGTTCTCACAAAAATAAAGATTTGAGGTTACATTAGTGTATCCAATATACACACGTTTGTAAATAATTGAGTTTTCAAATCTTAACTAGATTTCATTTAAAATGGTTTTCTGCAGACGGGTATAGACAGTTTGCTGTTCAGTTTCAACTGTTTCTGCTGCAAAGGAACAATAAGTATACTGACGTCTATTATTATTATTATTATTATTATTATTATTATTATTATTATTATTATTATTATTATTATTATTATTATTATTATTATTATTATTATTATTATTATTATTATTATTATTAGAATGATATCAGTATCCTTAATGTTTCTTTGCAAACAGAAACAATTGCAATTCAATGGTAAAAAAGGAAACTCTTCTGACTTTTGTTACATCTGTGGGATATTTAACCGACTCGATACTGGGTACTAAAAATCGTGAGTCATACAAGTATGGACTTGAAGACGATGGTTAAGGACCTATTTAACCCCTAGAATAAATCAAAATGATATATGAATACACTACTGTTTAGATTACTAATTTAAATTCAGATTGGTAGCTGGATTTTCATAATGTGAACTGAGTGGTTTCTAGAATCGCTTAATCAATAACTTACTATGTGAACACATATTTACAATATCATACAATTAAGTATTTATAACTAATTCAGAATATGTTTACATGTCACAGGCTATTGAAAAAACAATCAGTTTCACATGTTAAACTTAAATCAATTGAGCACTTGCTTAACATATCGCATGCATACAAAACTTTCATAACGTATAATAAAAATGAACAGCACTGATGAATTCTGGATCAGAAATGTTGAATACCAATTGCATAGTACCTTGCTAGTTTGGCTATAAGTGGGAAGAACGTTTATTTCACTTAGCAGTTGTGATCCGACGAAACTTTTGAAGATTTCAAACACAAAAGGTTTAGATCATATACATTCAAAGAGTAGTAGTGTATAACACACTGAACAATTTTTATAAATTTACATCACCTATAGGGAGATCTGTAGATTGCTATTAATAGTCTAGCGAGAACACTAGCATCAAGATTATGCGAACAATATGGATGATTCATATGGATTCATATGGATGGTTCATAAATGATGCATGTCGGTAATTCATGATTTACCAGAATGCTGTCAGACGTCACAGAATCGTGTGATATTAGCTTCTCCATCAACATTTTCGTCCCTGGTGTCAGACTTTTCAGAATCCACAGAGATGGCAATCAATTCATTAGAAACGGTCCCCAACTCATCTAAATCAACATAGATTTGTCGATTAACCTTGACTTTTCATCAATAAAGACTTTAAACACCAGGATCACAATATATAATGAGATGTTCTTTCCTCAGGCTGCAGCTCAAGAACTGTAGGTATGCAGACTAAGCTGAGTACCGACCATTGTAAGTAACGCACAACTGTCACAAATTGTTTAAAGGGCTGTACCACGTTTATAAACAGAGGTTTGATTGTCTCAAACCCTTAGTCTGATAACCTTTTCACTGATTAATTAGCACTAGACACTGAAGAATCGAATATATGTTCCTGCTGTAAATTTCGAAAAACTTAGACCCAATACCTGTTTATTTTTTTCGAAAAGTGAAATGACGAACATTAAATTTTTTGCATCTAACAAAAGTAGGTTTATTAGACAGAAACAACAAACGTATTCGTTTATGGATGGCTTTGATTCATACATTAACGTCACTGGCCACCTATCTAATACTGAAATTTCATTCATGGTTCCGGTTCGTAATGGAGATAGCAATAAAGAACTGTAAAATGACAGCATAATGCTCTTTCTTAAAAAGTTATTTAGTGGTGAAAATACTACATAGAATATGGTAAAGAATAAATTGTCAGTGTTCAAAACAACTATTTCCATTGACGATTAGCTTATATTCACGTCAGTACCCGATTCGTTATCACTATCACTTCGACTCATACTTCTGAAAAGATGATTAGTCAATGAAATTTTCAATTTCTTATCCTAACTTGAGAATAATTACTCACAGATGATTGTCTCACGAATATATATGCCCCCAAATGCCCTGGTACGGCCGAGAGTGGGGAGAGTTCGCTCTCCCTCTCGAAATACTCTCACACGGCCACGCGTATATAGCCTCTGCCAGGGAAGTCCTACTCACTGCCTTCTCGTGGCGGGGGTGTTGTTTACGAAAATGAGAGGACGAAAAGCGAATGTCCGGCGCTTTAACCGGATTCCAAACCAATGGTGCACATGGGCTCCAGTATCCTGCGGGAACGAATGGCGTATGAACCAATCGTTGGTCACCGGCTACCATGGGACTGCATCTCCTTACGATGCTCCACTGCCTTGTGGGTCAGACCCTCAGGTCGAAGGCTCGGGGTGTGGCCCCTTAGAAAACCACCTGCTTCTGTTTGGGCACCCGGGCAGTATCACAGTCCTCACACATATCGAATGAGATTTGTGTGGCGCATATGTATCTGGTGCCTCTTTGTACCAATATCTATGTGTTGAAATAAATAAATAAATAAATAAATTATATATATATATATATATATATATATATATATATATATATATATATAGAGAGAGAGAGAGAGAGAGAGAGAGAGATAAATAGATAGATAGATAGATAGATAGATAGATAGATAGATATAGGTATAATTTATACTTCCTGTTATTATTATTATTATTATTATTATTATTATTATTCATAAATGAAAATTAATTAGTAAAGTTAAGGAGGAAAAAGTTAATTGAATAATTAAAATAAACTGATTATATCGTTAATTTATTGTCTATTTCAATTTTTTATTTTAATAAATAAAAATTGATTTAACTAAATTGGCTTCAATTAATTAAGATATAAAATAGATCGTATATTTTCAATATAAAATTAAAGTGAATATGTTCGTGTACTCTGATCAGTTTCATATGTTTATATCTATATGATAGAACAGTGTTAAATTTTATAAAGAAAAAAAATTATTTATTAATGAGTCGACAGAAAATCAATAGTGTTATTCATTTTGTATGAATGATACTTACATTATTAAAAAATTATGTATATTTATTGTGAATAATAATAATAATAATAATAATGGTAATAATAATAATAATAATGGTAATAATAATAATAATAATGGTAATAATAATAATAATGGTAATAATAATAATAATAATGGTAATAATAATAATAATAATAATAATGGTAATAATAATAATAATGGTAATAATAATAATAATAATGGTAATAATAATAATAATAATAATAATGGTAATAATAATAATGACAATAATAGCAATAATAATGATAAATTAAATACTAATAGACTCATTCAATGGGTGTGTATACCTGATAATAATCATAATGATGAATCAAAATTAAAATTAATTCAAAACACATTGAATATAATATAGTGAAACATTTCTCTTTTAAATGAAAATAATAAAAAAGAAGAATTATTTAATTAACACTTTTTATGATGCACAATCTCTTTATCTATAAATGATAGAAAGAAGTTTAATGTTTGGTAGATAGTCAAGAATAGTAGCAATTTTAGTATGCAGCATTGGATGAAGAAAATATTCGTTAAGTTTTTTTAATATATCAATATAACTTGATACTGTTAGTCATATTTAATAGAGATTAAAGATTACCAGGGTATTTTGATAGATAATAATAATAATGTGTCACATTATCAAGTGATTGAATATAAATCTTCATACTACTTGGGTTTATATCAAGTTTTTTGCTTGAATAAGATTAGAGATGACATCATTTTCTTCGAAACATAGTTATTATTTATCAAGTATGTACTTTTGACAGAAAACAATCGTATAAAAGGACCACAACTGACTAACTTATCGTTAGTCAGTTTGTGTTATGGATGTAAAAATATCGATCTACTAAGACCTAGGATTGTGAAATGACAATAGTCAGTATCCTCTTAAAGTAATCCTTTATATATAAGGATCTTCATAACACATAATGTGACATTATCAAAACTAATCTATAATGGGATCTATAAATACACATACCTCACTAAATTAAATTGTAAATATCCCATGTAACTTATGCATGTTCACATGAGGAAATTATGTAAGTTTCAATCGTCCTAGAATACTATTGGCCTGAAAAGTAATCAATACACTTAATCATAAAAAATATGAAACTGTAATTATGAAAATCTTACTATACAGTATAGAGTGACCTTAGACAATCTTTGGAAACCAGGAAACATTGAACAACTCGTTTGTCCCAGTATTTATCTCCTCAGCAGTGAATATTTACAATCTTACTGAGAAGTGAACTCAAGACCTTCAGTCTCTTTGTAAGTTCTTAACCACTCGAACAGTAAAACAGCATCCATTCGTCTATATGTATAACCTTAATCATTTCGCGATACTATTCGACTATCTTCCATTGTCTACAGTGGATAACCATCTTGCACTCAATATTACTGTGCACCACTTGTTGTGGTTTCATACTAGAACTCCTGAATTCACCTCTGGAAGTTGATCATTAATGAGCACGTGAATCTGCACATAGATGTGCACTGTTGAGGAGTCTCATACTAAAGCTAAATATATGTCCAATGCTTCCTATTTTTCAATAGCTGTTTGACTAGTATAAGTCAGTGGTGCAAATTATGAAAAGTCAACAATCCCCACAAACCTACCTATATTGATGAAATCATAATTATTTAAGTGCAAAAGTAGTAATCTTCGTTACACCCTACATGAAAAAATTTGAAAAATGGCTATATGGATGCATTCCTCACAGGACCTACATCTATAAAAATAGGTGGAATAATTCAAATCGTTCCTAATAATGGTATAAACACCGTACCCGTTAAAAAACTTAATAGATGCATATATATATATATATATATATATATATATATATATATATATATATATATATATATATATATAATCAAATACTAGTCACTTAAATATTAGTTTATACCACCAACTGAATGTAGCCGAAATATCGATTAACTAAAATCCAGTATTTGGTGAATTCTGAAAAATATGATAACGGTCATACAAAATATCATGGATGAACTGAGGTTGGATATATGAACCACTGAATTTCGACCGACTTGAATAATGATGTCATAAAGGTCATAAATTTGAATTCACCTGGTTTGATACTGTGTGACATTTAGATTATGTACTATTGTGTTGTATGCCACTGATGTTGACAGATATAATTAGTATATATCATCAGTTTAAAGTGAAATACCTGACTGCAGAAGGTTAAAAAGATCGAAGAGAAGAGAATGAGAACAGAGAATGATTGGTGCGGAAACGAAGGAACAATCAAATCTGAGGCAATTGACTGACATTTTGTAAATGAAGTGTTTACTGTATAATTCTCAGATTTTAGTAAGACATTCTGTAATTTCCTATTCTGTTACGTTTGATTGTCTCCACTGTTGTTTTCGTTCACAACACTTTGAGGTTTCAAACCAAGATAAAACTATCGTCTATTACCCTATAGTTCACCAGTTGATATCAGTTTGCAATGGTGAGCTGGCTGTTAAAAAATGTTGTTTTCTGAAATTTCAAACTTATTTATAGCTGACACTAAAAAACAATTTCATTAACTTTGGGTCAATCAACAAGAACCTTTTTTCGTTAAGCGACTCAGAATTAGGCTCATCAAAATGACGTGGAAAGACATATCACAGAACTTACTGTGCAGTTTTTTAAGACGATTACCCGTAGGTCTTATACATATTCAATTCATATTAGTAAGAATAATCTGTAAACATTCTGACATTTAATTCACTTGATATTGTTTTATTTGAATCTTCCCATTGATGTTTTAGGACTGAAGTTGATCAGTCTCTTATTGGCATATGTGCATACTGTGCGTATGCCTCGATATTGCCTTAATTTCCAAGCATTATAAGCAGAGATGGATAGTGGCTAGCAGTGGAATCCAGGACGCGCGTTTCGTCCTAATAAGAGACTGATCAACTTCAGTCCTAAAACATCAATGGGAAGATTCAAATAAAACAATATCAAGTGAATTAAACTTCACCCCATTGCACAAGCAAGTGGCCATCAGGACTCAGTAGCTAAGTGGATAACGCGATGGCGTTTGAAGCGAACGGTACTGAGTTCGAGTCCCAGAGTGAACATCAACTCTGAGATGCAGGTACATCCAGCTGACGAGTCCCAAACAGGACGAAACGCGCGTCCTGGATTCCACTGCTAGCCACTATCCATCTCTGCTTATAATTCTGACATTTATTCATTTCTTTAGTCAATATTAATACAACTGAATAGTTTGAGCAATTTTGAGTAATATTGGTCTGTAATAATACATTTTCTTACTTAACCATATCCAAACAATAAATTGAATAAAATCAAAATAAAAACTGATCATTAAGAAGTGTGACAAATCCACATAATCTCAAATAATGGTGTTTATTACTGTCATGAAAGAAAATATATAGAACTCCTTAACTTATTACAATAATTCATAAAATACAATTTCACATTTCATCATTCTCCATTTACAATTTTACTCTTCAATAATGATAAAATATAATTTTTCTATAAATTTAATGCTAATAAGTTCAATCTATTCAGCATTCCATAACACCATAAAGTTTAATTTGTATATTATGTAACCTTGAACTTATATTGCTTTGTTTGAACATTGAAAAAGAATGAGTTACAACATAGATATGCTTCTCTGTTATATTATCTTTACTGGATAAAAAATGTTCAATGTACTTTTATTATTATGTTACCGATTCCAAAGTTATAATTCATCTCTAAGATAATATATATTTTTTGATTAGATTACAATCATTCTATGTATCATTTTGACAACTGTAACTTAAAATGTAGTTAAAAGTAATCAATACAATATTCCCTGTATGACTAGTATTGTGGTGTATACTACTTATGCAGATAAACATAAGTAGTATGTCGCAGGAAATGGAAGTAGAATGCTTACCAGCAGAAGAGTGAAATAAAGAGAAGAGGAAGGAAAACGAAGAGCAGCTGGAATAACAACATGAACGGAAAAATGATAAGGCATGTAGAGGAAGATATGCAAATGATGTATGGTTTCCATATTTTACAAAGGTACTGTGTAATTTTGCGTATAACAATAATCTAGTTTAGCGTTCTTGGATTTTCGTGCATTACATTAGTTGTGATCAGCTGATTAGAATTAAACGGGCAGGTTTATTCATACTAATATACACTATCATACGAAATATAATTGGAAAGTACTTTGTTTAGAAGAGGTAGAAAGATAGGGAAATATGGAATTTATCCAGCTTTTCTTCGATGAATTAGTGTATTTTTAATGAACATTTATCAAACAGTCATTTTACAACAATTTTATGCAATCTTTGAACTAATTGGTTCCCTTGGCTTCGTTCATTAACCCCAATCGATTAACTACAAATGTCACTCGGTTTCTTATCCAAAGATATCCCGATAATGTACTTTTTAAGATATATTATTTGTGGTGGTTTCGTATTTCACACGTAGACAGTCGCGTGAATTATAAGTTTAAATAATAAGAAGCTACTTGTAACCAGTCATTTGGTTTTCTGGTGTACTGGTCGGATGTATGGGAACTTTGGAATTTACGTGGCTTGTCCATAACTTAACGAATACACTAACAGAGTTAGTTGATTAAAATATGAGGAAACGAGTGTTTAACAGAATTAAGTTAGCGTTTTATGATGATACAATGAAAATGATCGCTTGAAAATCAATCTAGGAGGTTGGACAGTTGATTAAAATACAGTAAATCATTTCTCTTCACATATATACCAAGCAAGCTGTCAAAGAGAAGGGTATACCATGTTGATACAATGTTGATGGATAAAAACGTACTGAAAAGTGATGTTCTAATTTTAACATAAAATCAGTTAATCAGTATTATAAGAATTAAAAATAAATTGACAAAACTTTTGACATAATACTAAAAATATTTTAAAAATCAAAGTACAAAGAAATTTGCTAGTCAATGAAGTTGGTTGTTACCTATTGAAAGTAATCCCCGTTCGAGATAAATTGTTCTCATAGACATGATTTGTTATGGATTTTTATTTATTTTAGCAAGCTTCCCCACATATATGCAGACGATTTTACCTGTGAAAATTATCTTCAAAGAAATATAAAACTTAACCATAGTTCATAAATCAATTGTCAACAGTAACATTTTATTCACTTCTAATAGCTAATCGAACTCTATTATCAATAACTTAAGTGACACAATATCGAGAAGTATAATTTGACATCTTTACAGTGAATGGAAGATAAAATTTTCATCCGTCAAATAAATTAGTCTGTAAACTAAGGTCAGATATATCTGTTGATTTACTTCAACGACCAAATACAACCATTGTAGTTGTATGTAAATAAGTTTGTTTGAT